TCTCTCTCTCTCTCTCTCTCCCTCTCTCTCTCTCTCCCCCTCTCTCCCTCTCTCCTTTTCCTTTTGATGTATCAGACATTTGGTTGACAAAGTAAGGGCCTTGATTAGGACCAAATTTCCATGTCTGTTGCTATGGTCTTAATTTAGGACAACAGTTAACCATGCTGTGGCCCATATATTACATATGTAATATATAAATATATATATAAAACATTACCCTTTGTCTCCTTGGCTTAGGATGAGGCCCCTCGGGTGAGCTTAAATGCCCTGCAGGCAGCTCAGTGCTACGAGCAGCCTGCAGGCCCCAGCCCTGTTCAAATTAACGCAGTCGATAATAAAGGAATGAGTATCGTTACAGAATTGGTTGCCTGCCTTCTCTTCCTACTTTTACTCCCTTTTTTCATTTCCCCTCTTCTCTGTCCTCCTTGTTTTTCCAGTAGGGGTTCAGCAGCATTTGGAGCCCAGCTACAGTTATCAGCACCTTGGCTGCTTACTAAAAGGGGACCCCTCTGCCCAGGAAGGTCCCAGGCTCTTGAAGTCCATGCCAGAGCTATGACAGAGCTGCTCATGTTCTAAGTAGCAGTCCCCACCCAGTGAATTCTGAGCTATTAGCAGATTTCAGAACTGCCCAGATGCTGTCCAGATTAGCTGTCAATATCACTTGACAGCTCTGCCCTCTCTGCACCTACTTTTATTAGCCAGGAGGAATTAAAACAGCCAATACTGTGTGTCAAGTACCTAGATGTGCCTGGCACATGGCGGGTGCTGAATTAAAATAACTTCATGACTGGCTTCCCCTTATCCTCTCTTCCTGGGGCTTCTTTCCCTCCCTTTGGGTTTTAGCTCCCTGTAGCTGGAGGTCTTACAGGTAATGAAAAGTAGTTGCTGTTAAACACAAAGCCCCTGACTTGGGAGAGCATGGAGGTGAGCGGTGCGCCCGTTTTGGCACTGACGGTTCTCCTGGAGGGGCGCCCTGCCTCTGCGCCTGGTTCTGGCCCCGAGTTCTCACAGGGCGCCAAGGCTGAAGTAGCTCTGCTGTTGGAGTGGGAAGGGATTTGCCCGGTGTTGTGTTAGGATCTTTACACATGCAAGTTCATTTAACCCTCCCGGGTGGGAATCATCCCTGGTGTATAGATGAGATTTCGGGAAATTAACTATAGGCGTACCTCAGAGCTATTGCAGGTGTGGTTCCAGACCACCATAACAAAGCGAGTACTGCCATCAAGTGAGCCGTAATCTTTTTGCTGGTGGAGGGCCTTGCCTTCCATTTGTAAAAAACGCAGCATCTCTGCTAGGAAGTATAATTAAGTAAAGCACAATGACATGAGGTATGCCTGAGCCTTGACCAAAAGTTAGTAATGAAGCTAGACTTCCAGACTCTAATGCCCATATATTTTCCTCTGTGCCACGTTACCTCTCTAGCCCATTTGTCCCTCAGGAGATCTGATAGGCACCCTCCATGTTTTGCAAGTAGTGGAAGCCAGGGACAGAAGGGCAGGCTGGTTGGAAATAAAACCAAATCTCCAGACCCTTGACCTAGGTGTCCTATTAAAAACCACTCCTTTCTCCCATTCGCAGCAGGCTCACTTGCGTAGCTGACAAGGGTGGTTTTCTAGAGCCCCACAAAACAGCCCGAGGAACTCCCCACTTAACTGAGTCTTTTGTTGACTGTTGATAAAGAAACTACCATGTTTCACTTCTTCCTCCAAGATTCGGCACCTGACCTCCATAGTTACTTCCTTCTGTTTTCAGATGCCCAGAACTGGGGTGGGGGGTGAGGGGCTGTTAGTTAGCACTCTTGGCCACCACTAAAGATTAGCTTAAGCTGGACTGAACAAAATAAGGCCCCTGAAGCGGGCAGCGGACCCCAAGAGAAAGAACAGAGCCAGGCCTAAGGAATGGCCTACTACCAGGGAGTCAAACACCATACAGACCATCTCTATCACACATCTTTCTGTGTGGGGTTCATGCTCCTTCCTCAGCTGCTCTAGTTCATGACGTAGAAGAGACGTCTCCCAGAAGCTCTCTGTTTACATGATCCAGTCATCCAGAGAGACTTAGAATCTCAGTCCCAGTGCCAAGTTCATGGTAATGTGATTCCACCTCAGTAGTTTGGGTCAGGTGGGTGGGAACATGATACATGAACAAGACCTCCAAGAGTCCTGTATTAACCATGTGTATGGGGGGGAGGGGGAGGGGTGGAAGTAAAGATGTTTCTTAAAAAAGATGATGGGGGGTAGCAGTGGGGCTGGAGTGTACTCTGGGCAGTCAACCAAATAGATGTCCATGACCAGTGTGTCTGTCACCCAGGATGGTTCATTCTATGATTCTGGCCATTTTTGTTACAACAGATCACCTATACCAAAATTACCACCCTCAGAGGTAGTAAGGTCCAGGAAAGATCCATGTGGTAGACATTATAGGTTGCCTTCCCAATGTCATTCTTCCCTTCTGCCTTATGTACAAAATAATTTTGCTCAAAGAGGGCAGTGCACTTAACTAAAAATATTCATATTCCCAGACTCCCTTGCAGCAATGAATGGCCATGTGACATGATTTAGGCTAAGGAAATGTAAGTGGAGGTTGGCTAGGAATTTCTGGAAGTATTTTTTTGCTTTTCTGATTTAGACATCACCCATTTCTCCTCTTCCCCTTTCTTCTTCCTGCCCAGAACTCAAATGCACCTCCTGGAAGTGCATTTTCATTGAACAAATATTTACTGAGCACCTGTTGCCCATATATCCCGTGTTGTTCTGAGTACTGGAAATGCAGCAGTGAATAGAACAGACGAAAGTCCATGTCTTTACAGTGCTTACATTCTAGGGTGGGGAGAAAGACATTAAACAAGAAAATCATATTGCATATCAGATGGTGATAAGTGCAGTTAAGAAAAATAGAGAAGAGAGATGGGGAATTCCAAGGACTAATGGTGGGGGAGGTGCAGTTTTAAGGCCCATACTAAGACATCTGAGCAAATTCCCGAAGGAGATAAGGAAGTGGACTATGAAGATATCTGGAGAAAGAGGACCCCAGGAGAGGGAAATGAAATGCAAACTTGGTGGATGAGAGTGCATCAGGCTTGTTCAAAGAGCAGCCGCCATATTGCAACCTTAGGGTAACAAGCACAGCATTTAAAGGTTGATGGGGTGGAGACACAAGAGATCCAAGTCCCTGATGGGATTTGTGCCTCTGCACCAGCCTGGGTCTGCCCACTTACGGGCTTATAATGGCCTTATAACAGACCCCTTCTGGCCACTGTTAGGGAGTTTGCCAGGAATCTGCATTTGAAACGAGCACCTGCAGTGATTCCCCCAAACGCTCACTAAAGTCTGAGAATCTCGTTCCAGCCACTTGTGATTCCAGTTCATGCTTACAGGTGAGTCTGCCCTTCAACAAGTGCCAACACTGGGCCACCTGCCTGTGTAGACACCAGGATTGTGCTCAAGGATGGTAGAGGCAGAGGGCACAAAGCCACTTGAGGGCGCAGGGCCCCTGGAGCCCCTGTGCTCAACTACTACTTGTCTCTTCTTCACAACTGGGTGGAGGGAGGGGACAGAGTGCGACCTTGTTTGGACTGTAAAACCAAAGTGATGGTTTGTTCACATCTAAAGCTCCCATTTGCAGTAAGGAAGAGAAGACCCAGAATAAGAAAGTAATTTTCCAAAGTCACCAAATGGTTAACAGGCAAGGTGGGACTGGAAGGCATAAGGACTTACTATAGTCAGACACCACGCTCATTATGGTTTTTGTTGTTTATTTTATTTTTAAATAATTTTAAACTCACAGACTAATTGCAAGAATCATACTAAGAACTCCCATGTACTCTTCTCCCAAAGTCTCTGTTTAGGTTTTGCCAACTGTCCTAAGAAAAACCCTTTTAACAAAGGGATCCAACCCAGGAGCGTGTGTTGCACTTGGCTGTCATATCTCTAGTCCCCCATCTAGAAGAATTCCTCAATCCATTCTTGACCTTTGTGCCCTTAAACGTTCTTTAATATTACAGGCCAGTTAATTTACAGACAGACAGTAGACTGTCTCTTGATTCAGGTTTGTCTGATGTCTCCTCATGGTTAGATTCATGATACACAGAAGGGACACTGTGGCCTTCTCACTGTATCCCATCAGGTGGGATGTGATGACATTGCTTTGTCCTAGTAGTGGTGACATTAACTTTGATCACTTATTAAGGTGATGTCTGCCAGGCTTCTCCCCTGTAAAGTAGTTATTCTTTATCCTTTGTAATTAGTAAGCATCTTGTGAGGATATAACTGTGAAACTATGTAAATATCCCTCTGTAAATTTCACCCAGGAGTTTTAACATTCATTGATGTTTCCTGCTTGAATTAATTGTTGCTATCTGGTTGCTAAAGGGTAGCTTTTAATTTTATTATTTTTTTCCTACATTTCTAAATCATTTGTGAGAAACTGCTTTCCCTTCTCATCTGTTTGCTTATATCAGAGTGGACTCATGGATTCCTATTTTATTCAATGGGTTATAATCTATTATTATTATTTGTTTTGATGCTGAAATGATTCCAGACTTGGCTAGTGGCTATGCCTTCAAGCTGGCTTCTGTGTCCTTTTGAAATGTTCACATTATTCTCTGAGCACTTCTTTATGGCACAAAAAGTTGTTTCAGACCCATCCAAGGAGTCCTGATTTCTTTTAGTGGAGAATGGTGTGCTTATTGCTATGACTGGCTCTCCTCCCAGGCTCCCTGAGTATACACATATTGCTCATTCACACACACTTTACAATTATATTTACTTTACCTTCACCTATCTAACCGTGAGTCACACCACTTCCTCCAATTCCAACCTGCGTCTCAGGGTTCATTTTGGTCTTCCTGTTTTCATACTTACAATTCCTTCCTCTGACAGTTGAGAAACCTGGCTCCCATTAACCCAAATAGATTGACTTATTTGCCCAAGTCCCTGGTCCATGGCCAATTTCTTAAACC